GACTGATACTCAGAGCAGCTGAACCTGCTGGATCTCTTCTTAGAGTTTTTAAAATGCCTCAGGAAGCTACTTGAAGTAGATTTTAAAAATTCTAGAGGCCACGTCTAGTTCCCGATGTAATTTTGCTGCAGTACAGTCAGGTCACCATCAGAACCAGGAAAGTGAATTGCTCTGAGGATGCGGCATCTGCTAACACCACACTTGGGCACAGAAACCCTGTCCCCGTGTTGAGTCCTTCTCTGGAGACGGGGAGAGCTTCAGCTTGTGGTAAAATATCTGTGTCTTATTGACTTTGATTTCAATTTGAAACATGTTGTATTTTTATGCTTGGAGCTGGTTTTGCTTCAAAAAAACATCCTTGGCGCATATGTAGATATCAGTGCCCCAAACAATGGCTTCCTTTCACAAAAGTTCCCAAACAAGGCAGCAACTGTGGGAGGGTGTGTACAAAGTCATCTTTGTAACGCTCTTAAAAAAAAAAAAAAAACGTTTGAAGATCATGCGAGAAGCCCAAACAGAAGCAATTTGAGAAACTCAGCATTACACTTCACAATCCTCTGTGTTTTCACAAAATCTCACTTTTCCTTTTTCAAGTTAATGGCATTATATTCTGGAGCGTACATTAATCCAGTTCAAAGGAAAAATGGTTGTTGCAAAGAATTTAGCATCTATAATAAAGCTGTGATGGGACCCTGAGTCAGAGTTTTTATATGAATACTCTCACCTTTTTCCTTAAAGTGAGTATCATAATCACAGCAAAAGCCAGTGTATATTCTTTATCAGAATATACACTAGAACAAACAATTTTTACATGGAGAGAAAACTCAGAGAAAGACAGGATAGTAATAAAAGTGATCTGTAAACAAGCCTCTCTGCCTACTTCATCCTCATCAGGTTTGCAGCAAGGAATCAGCCATTTTGTTTTCTACTGAGTGACACCTTTTCAAAAGAAAATACATTGTTTCCTAATATGAAATAACTATGAAACAACAACAAAAAGATACAGCTTTTCTAGCAAATACCTTCCATTGTGAACAGAGCCACACACACACACACAAAAATCTATCTGTGCATATACATAAATAGATGTCTCCCTTAGCTATTCTCAGACACAGTGAAGCTTCAACTGGGTGAGGAGAGGAAATGAGGAAAGAGCAGTGTGCAATAATGTTTACCACAACAGCTTCGCATCTGTAACTTGACCAGATTGCAAGTATAAACACAACACCCTTAATTCTTCCAAATACTCTGTAGTCTTTGTTAATAGAAATTACTTAGGATTTTCTTAATTAACACCTAAATCTATCAGTTTTGTGAAGAAGGTGGCTGGTAGAATCACCAGACAGAGGAGTTTTTGACATTCAAACCTAGCTGACAACATCTGTGTGCACATGGCCTCTAACTGTTGCGGTAAGGTTTTTTTTCCTCATAACTTACTAAATGTAAAATGTTGTAATCAGTACACTGATGATTTCTTAGACATTCTTCATTCTGACAATATTCAGTTCAAAGACTTTCCTAAACACTGTTCTTCTAGAAACCCACCAAGTCTTGAAGTATTAATGACATCTTTCTTACAGTAATGTGCTTGAACAAAGTCATATTGTTAATGGATGCATGTTAAGCACAATGTATCATTATGCAGTCAGGGAAAGTTTGTGAGTCATCTGTTTTGCAGGGCAATTATCTAGCCCATCAGAGAAAAGGCCTGACTACATCGCATAAGGTCTTCAATTTGTCTCATACATCTTGAGCCATGTCCAGTCATAAGGATTTGTCTGGTGACTAGATAGAGGGCTTGCCAGAAATTCCAACAATTAAACTTAAGAAAAGCTGAAATATTTGCCATGGAAGAACGTTTTACCCTACAAAGGGAACTCAGCCCAGGTTATCTTTTTTCTCCATCCTTTTAAACACAGTAACAGGGCCCCAAACCCTAGGGGATTTACACAGCACAGAAACAACTAGAAAAAAGGATGATGTTTTAATCACAAAAAAAAAAAAATAGTTTAAAAAGAGGAAAACATCTTTTGCCCAAGAAAACTATTGCTTCTTTGACCATTAATTTTGTCACTTCACAAATTCTTCCTTTCTACAGTCTATCATTATCAGTTCAAGATCCATTTCATCAATGAAATCCAAGGCAAGCAGATCGACCCAACTTTTACCATCTCTCTGACAGGCACTAAGGAGGATGCTAAAAACCTGCCCATCCCACTGTGAGTATTGATATTACATGCCACTGTACAAGTAAGAAACAAAGTGCCAATTTATAATACCATATCATGTACGTAATTGTGCTATGAGTGAAATGGTTTAGTGCACCTAAGTGAAGATGAACTGGAAATTGTCCTCTCTTCACCCATACTCCCTAAAAATCACAAGCTTTTACAAAGTTCATACAGTCTTTGCATGAAAAATCTCTATAAAACAAATTTAGTAATCTTGGAAGTTTCCCCGAAGATTAAGCATCCTGTCCATTTATGTTCAGTCCATCCCATGGCTAACACAGGGAGGTCTAATCAACTAAAACACAAATAAATAAGCAGCTGTAATTACAGTAAAGAATTTTGGCTATTATTCATGATGGACACTATCCATATTAACAAAAGCAAAGGCAACAGTGTGGGTCAGCATTTGCTCTAGCAGACTAAAGACGTAACATAGAGGCTATTATGCAACACCCTTCCTTTTGCTGTCAGAAACCACTACTGCTTCACCAGCTGTTCAAGATTCTCCCACTTCTGCTTCTTTTCAGGCATTTCACCACTTTATGTGCCTGGAGGAAGAGTACCCTAGAGACAGTAATGTTCCCTCCTGGAGAAGGAGCGGGAAACATAGTTCTTTCTGCAGTTTTGAAGAGAAGAGAAACTAATTTTTTTTTCACTTGAATCCATAATAATTAAGGCAGCGTTATTCTGGTTTTGTTTTCTGCAGAGTTGAAGATATTAACGGGAATAAAACCTACTCTTTTCTCATCACCCTGGACACTGATATTGGTGAGCTAATAATGATCAAGTTCAAATGGGAAGGAACTGCAGTTTGGGAAAATATCTGGGACACGGTTCAAACCATAATACCATGGACAAAAGGTACCCGTCGACCAGGACTTATAGTGAAGACAATAAGAGTGAAAGCAGGGGAAACACAGCAAAAGTAAGTGTAATGAAAACACCACTTTTCTGCAATAACACCACAGATGTTTTTGCACACGTTATCCTAATTCAAATACAAGCATCTGAGCCCCAGCACTCACACCAATGGTGAATATACCCATGTACAACTTCTGGCTTTCCTCCCTCCGCCTCAAATCAGACTGTATGGTTTTTAAGTGTTTTAAAGAATTTCTTTGTTCTCAGGTCAGAAATGAATAGTGGGAAGTCTTCTGGCTCACCACTGCCACTAATCTGAGTTTAAGGCACAATAACCTTGAGTGACAATTTTTTTGATACTTGGGAATAGAGGATAGAGAAGAAGTTAGCACACAGAGCCAAGGAAGAATTTTAACAAGTTCCACAATACAATTTTTCTACACAATTAATGACAATAACTGATGACAATATCTGACAATTTTAGAATGTGATTGTCTCACTCCACAAAGACCACATGAAATTTCAACGAAACAAGATACTATGTAAGATAAATATTGATTTCAACATTAAGGCCATGAAAAATTCAAATTCCTACTTAGAAAAAATATGCCAAACCTTAATTAGTTGACTTTCAATACCTACTTCATAGAGAAACTTGGCATCATGATTCTTGAAAGTAGTCATTAGAAAGATCACATGCAGAACTACACAGTCCTCTGATTATTCAATGAAGTTAAGGGTTTTATCAGAAAATTCCCTTATTTTTGTCTCATTCATTTAAGATATCTGATGTCTGATAGCTGATAACAAATTACTACACTGTGCAGGCTGTATAAGAGGTTCCTGGAGTGATAAATTGTGGAAGCAAAGTCTCAACAACAGACATTTTGAAATTTCTATAGTAGGCAAACAGAACATAAGCAGTCCTGCAAAACAAAAAGTCTATCTATACTTCTACATACCACACTTTCACTGGTAATTTTTACACTCTGGTTGTGCTTTTGTCTATAGTATGAATTCAGTGACATAAATTCTGTCAGTTGAACTCTGAAGTAGCATCAGAGAGCAGTTTTCTGGAGAAAAAAAAATTTATGAATGCAAACTGAAGCCTGTGTTTGGGTTTTTTGGGGGGCTTTGTTTGTTCATTTGTGCGGTTGGCTTTTTTGGGGGGTGTGGGGGTGCGTGTGTTCTTTTTTTCTTTTCCCCCTGCTGATTGCTTTCAAACTAGATCACCAAGTCTGAGTGGCCTTGTTCTCTACATACAGCAATAATAATAACAGTTTTGAAACTGCTTATTCACACAGAGAAATTTCAACCAGAAGACAGAATAACAAAACTCGTAATGATTCCCAGTGCTTTAATCCTTTGAGAAATTTTAACTGAGCCGTTTAATTAAGGTTAATGAGAAAAGCATGCCTTACCTTATAACTGTGGCTCAGTCTTCGAAGGTGATTTTTCCTTGCTATAGCCTCTTTCTTACCAGCACCAGTTATACCTACTGCAGACTTTCGGTGGAACAATACTTATTGGCAGAGCTGCATCTCCTTGATACTGACACAAAAGACAAATTAGACAATTTAAAAAGACATTTTCATAAGACAATCTGTGTATGCTGGGGGGTAGAGGAGGGATCATATTTTCTTGAGTTTTGTCCCCCTGAAAATGTATTTTGTAGGTATTTTCCTCTCCTGACCCAGCACTTGGCACATGCTCCTGCCATTAAAGTAAAATAAATTAAAAAAAAAAATTCTATAATATCTCCTGCTGTTTTAAAAGCAATGATCCCAAATCAGTAACTGACCTAGCTGCCAAAGCAAATTAAAGCACAGTATATGCTACAAATTAGAGAGCTCTGTTTAAATACCACTTTTTGTACCTTGAGAAAAAAGTAAGAAGACTGTGAAAGGATTATGTCAGGTATACTCATTCTGCTAATCAGAAAGCTCCTGTCCAATACAGCTGTCTCAATAACCCAGCATAAGCCAATTACTAGTGATGTACTACTTAAGAAATAAGTAACTGAGGTGGGAAGTTGTATACTAACAAAAATGATGCTGGTATCTTCAGGTACCTAACGCTCCTTAAGAGCTTTTTTGCTGCAAGCAGAAGTGGGAGCTTGTGTCGAGATTTTAATGGATACTGATTATGTGCTGGGTTTTGTTCTATGCAATCTGGGTTTGTCATGGGAATGGAAAGGACACGTTACTGTTGAAATACTGTATAAATGCTTGAGGGGGGAATGAAAGATTATTAGGTGATTCTAAAAGGAGGAACAAAGGACAGTCAAGGAAAAGTATTGTCTTCAAGGGAAAAAGTATGTAGATTTTGGTATTCTTGAAAGACCAAGCATCACGGATCAAAGAATTAGCAATCTTGGAAATTAAATATTAAAAAAGGTAGTAAATACAAAATGTGTTTTGAGTTGTCTTGTGCTTTCTCAAGCATTTGAACAAACTGTTGACAATATTTTATCTCCATCTACTTTTACCTCAAGTTTGTGATATTTATATACATGATAAATTTTCCTTCGTTAGATTATCTAGTGACAAATGCTTAGACACAACATAATAGCTTAAACTTAAGAAGTAGTCAATAAACAGACTATTATGAGCAATAAACCACCAGATTCCAACATATTTGAGTTCAAATATGGAAGACATTTCTGTAGCCTATGTAGTTGCTGATGTTGTTAGCATCCTACATAACTGACTTTTAGCCATCTCAACTAAATACAAGTAGTCCAACTAAGTACTAGCAGGCCAAACAGTCCAATCCTGGTAGTAACAATAAGAGTTGAAACGATGACAATGGCCACTGGGAGTACACAGACCAAATCACTGTGAGGGTACGCTATGGCGAACAGCATGCTGTCTGTGATACCAGAGAGACAGAGGCATAACGCACTCCATACACGGGAGTTGCCTACTCCTTTTACTCTGCACCTACTGTCTGGCAGCCAGATACATCTCTCTGCTCACAAGCCTATAAAAACAGATGCCTTCCTGTAAAAGACAGGATGAAGAAAGTCAGATTCAGTATATCTAGAGAGCCCACTTTTATACGGATATTAGCCCTAAAAAGTAACATTATGCTTACATGCCATGTTTTCTTTCTAGAATGACATTTTGTTCTCAAAGTATTGACAACGTTCACCTCCATCCAGCCCAAGAGAAAACATTTGTGAGATGTGAAGATCGCTTTCGGAGAGAAAACAGAAAGTGAGCAAGAACACAGAAAACAACCACTCAAAATATATTCAAGATACTATACATCTAGTAAAATGTTTTAAAAATACACAGCTACATTAAAATTTAAATATCCTGATGGATTCAGAGGTGGTGAAGAAAACACATTAAAAAAAATTTACATTTTGTGATGCAAGGGTAAGCTGAAATACGTGCTTTGTTCACCTACGAGTCTACTCTCAAAGTGATCAGTGAGCAATTTCATCAACAGCAACTGTAAATTTTAAATTGTTTAAAGTTTTAAAAAAAATACCTGTTCACTAGAAATAAAAAGATTACTATTTGAAAGAATCATTGCAAAAAGCCTATGAAAAATTTCATTTTGTTGGATTTAAGGGAACAGAGGAGCCTCATTTCCCATCAAATACTTCAAAACATTAATAATGACTACTATCAGTTAAAACTTCCCTAAATTATTTCTTAATGAATAAATAATTCATAGAATAAAATATTCCCATAGAGGTAAACTGTTAACAAAGAGCTTGAACTTTTTACTGTATAACATTCAAAAACTAAAATGCATCTCAACATACCGAATGTTTGAGCTATCTGTCATAACCACATGACAAGCCAAATAACCGTATCACCTAAAAATGCAAAACTAAACTTTGTCCTGTTGTAAAATGCTTTGCTGCTTAACTATTTTAATTAAAGTACTGATTTCAATTACTAGAATTTTAATTATTTTATTGATGCTTAGTATACTACATGCAATTCTAGCATAACAGTCCAGTTAACTTTTGCATTAAAATGATTGACCTGTTCAGGTAAGGCCTGAGATGTTTAGATTTTAAATCACTGTATAGCAGATTTTAGCATGATTTGAAACTGCATTAATGAATGAAAATGGTAAAACCCTCAATCATCTTCAATGTGCATAATCAAACTTTATAAATTTAAACATATACAATTCCCCTGTTTCCTATGTTGGAGTATAAATTACATAAAGAAACATTATTGTCTCATATTATTTTTATTTTATGGCTAGTGCATACTGAAATAGAAATCAGTATGTACGTCAGAGTATTTCATTTGTCACTTTGCAATGCCAAGCGCAAGATTAATTAAAAATTATGTTTCTACAACTGTATTCTGAATGTAATTTGTTTTAAATGTTCTCTAAATGGTAAAACATGTGCAAGATAGTCCTCAGACCTGGAGCAAAGCGTATTTTCCATGCCAAGACATTGCATGGAATTTTGAATCAAAAGATACAGATGTTATCAGGATTAAAGTAAGATTTTTTAAAAAGTATGATAAATGAACAAATTGAGCAGGGCTAGCAATCCTGCAAGCAATGAACAGTGATCAAATGTTGAGTGCAGGCATCTTTGCTAACCATTCAGAAGATTAACTTCCAACTTTTAAAAGGTGTTTTCAATAACTACCATTCCTTTAAACAAACAGGAATATTCAACACAAAGGCTGACTAAATATGACACGAACTGAAGCATACTTAATTTTCAAGTGAGAACGGTTGTCCATGGTGTAAGTTTCAGAAGCTGATCTGATATTTAAAACCGGCACTTGGAGTACCATCTTGATTAGGGCAAATACTTACAAATTCCATGTAAAAGAATCCTTAGATCTTCACTGAAAATGAAGGTTTGTGCTTTAAAAGATTTGCTCAATGAAGCAAATAGGTTTTTTAAACATGAAATCTTCTATGTCAAAAATTACAATTTAAGTGATTAATTCATGTTTCAGGGTGCTATCCCCAATACTTAGATTTCCTAACATAATTATTTTATTAAAGCTCTGTAATATTTTCTGTACTTATATAAAAATTGATCACTTAAAATACAACAGCTAAAAGTCAAATCAGGAGCACACACAGAAGAGGGAAATTTCAGCAGTAAGTATCCCTGAAAAAGTTGGATAAGCACCACACCTTTTTTAGATGATGGTTGGTTGGTTGGTTTTGGTTGGTTGGGTTTTTTGGTTTGGTTTTTTTTTGTGTGTTTTTTTTGGGGTTTTGTTATTTTTTTAATTTGCAGCAGCTATAATCCACTGGAGAGACACAGTAACAGCATTTTTAGGGGCATGAAGTTAAAACAGCCTGTCCCCTGAAGAATGACAGACAAGGAACAAATGACAATATGGCCATTTTAGTTTTCCAAAGCAGAATGAAAAATGAGACCGAGACAGAACAGAGAGAGAAGTATGTGTGTGTCTAACTCAATTATGCATCTCCCTAGATTGTTTCTGGAAATCTATTTTTGCTTCTGGAAAAAGCTAAAGAACTGCCACTTTTACTTCTCGTGTTTCAGGTTGTTTTGTTTATGAAGTACATGTCTATTTATAGAAGAATTAAAATTGCATCTACAACAGTGGTTATCATCAACTTTCTAAGCTACGAACTTTGTAAGCTTCCTGAACCAAATCCTACCCCTGCTCCTCAAAAAGGCTTTGGTCAGAAGGTAGCAAAGGATGACAGCGCAAGAGACAGGCTAGAAGGAACCGGACTGTGCTGCTTCTCCAGTGCAGAAACTACAATGTCAGTGTTTCGCTATACCTGAAAAAAAGCACTAGGTGGTGAGACAGCTGTTAATGAGATTTCTATGATATAAAACATACATCCTCACAGAGCCTTTCAACTCATGATTTAGCTGTAGTTACATATCCTAACACACTTAGAAACATTTTAGATGTTAGAATAGGCATTTCTTTCACATTATTATCACTTACTTGGTAAGAAGGCTGATAGATATAAACTTCAGGAGAAACAGACTTGAAAGTATTAGTTCAGGAAAATCCAATGGAAAAAGGGTCAGAGATGTCTACAGTGTGCTGAAACTCAAGGAACGGGGATACAGCAGTTTGAGGACTTCTGAAGTTTCTGGGGAAAAAACATTCTCCAGTTCAACTGAAACAAGCTACTACATCCTCAGATAACACAATCTGAAAACTTTTAAGTCAAATAGGAAAATTAAAAGAACATTCAATATTTGAACTCTTGCAGATATTAAGATACTTATTGTGACATCGTTTTTCACAAATCGTATGTCCAAATAAATCCTGTCCCTGTGTTTTGAGAGCCATTAAATAATTTCTGATATAAAAATGAAATAAAGCCCAAGTTGCAGCATAGTCATATTCTTACAATGCTTGAATATAACACTGAAGTCATACCAAACTGCAAGTGCCTATGGTGGTGCTTCCCTTTGTGCTCACTGGAATTATTTGTCTCACTCTGAACACCTGAAGTGAGACCTGGGAAGCCACCAGGAGCTCGCTCCTGCCAGAGCAGGTACAGCTTAGAGCCACATAATGACTGCTGTCCTTTCAATCACCTCTCTGTAATAACTGACCTCCGATGGTCAGAAGTAAAAATCTCTTCCTTCCTTTTTGTGTGCTTTTCCTGCAAGAAATATTGGAGTGTTAATTAAAAGGCAAACTATATCAATGATTTACAGTCTGTATGGTATAAACAGTTTCATAGCTTAAGGGGGCTTTGATTCCCTTCTCGCATTCACACCGTTCTGACTATACATGCTTCTGCACCAGAGGTGAAGGTACACACTGAATGACTAAAACCTTACGAAATACAAGATGAATAAATGAATAGCTACAACTAGGGATTATTAAGTCAAATATTGGTTAGAAAGATTACATCTATTTACATACTCATGTTTCCCCCAAACACATTTGAAAATATACACAATATTTGTATTTTAGCTGCTTAGGCATTATGTCTACCCCTCTGGTTTGTGTTCCTAGGCAGAAATTTAAATGCAACCACCACCAAATCTATTAGGCACCTATAATGCTGATTTGCAGAAAGGCTCTGCTCCAACCGACTTTCTTTTAACACCTTTTGCCCTGACAGTGCTATTTAGCTACAAGGGGAAGCACTTCTATAAAAAAGTCATGGGGGGAGTGGAGAGGGGGGGGGAAGTACTGCAAGGAAGGAACTCTGAATATGCTTTGATTACATCAAAGCGTATGCTGCTCAGTTGGGGAAACAGATGTCTAAGCAGGCCACTCTCAACAAACAGCCCTAAGAATGAAAGACTAGGTGGAAGGACTTGGCTTTTAAAAGCAATCTTATCACTTAAATCAACTATACAACACAAAAACACAGAGACCCAGCTTAGCAGTGTTAAAACACCTTGCAAAAAGCAAATCTGCTCCTTCGAAACGTCTTATCCGTCAGTTGTGCATTCAGACTATTGCATATTAATTCCAGTATTCCTCTTCAAAACATATCTATTTCAGCAGGTACCATTCAGTAGCTACAGTGCCAGGTTTAAACACCCCACCAGGAACTAGCTTCCATTTTGAAGATAATAACAGAGAAAGCTTTATTCCTGTGATCACACAAGTAATTTAAAGGTAAATTTAGGGCACGTCCCTAAAAAACTTACACAAAACCATTTACTCTTACATTCAACTACATGATGTTAAAACCGAGAGGTGCACTTTGACAAAGATAGTACAATTACTTTTTGGCATGAGAGCCCCTTTCTAGTGAAAGCCCCAAATCAAGTAGAACCTGTGCATTCCTTTTTGCTTTCAGGGTTCAAAAAGTAAATGGATTTTCAGAAGATGATTTCATCAAGTCTATTTATTAATGCATTTCAAGTTTCAAAAAACCTTACATATCTTTGCACAATACTTTATTTTTTGCATTTTTAGTAAAAATTTCCAAAGTGAACAAAAAAAGATACTGTATAAAACACAGTGGACATGAAATCAACAGTAGTATTCCGTTTCATTGTCTTGAACTTTCTTTCGGTTTTACCACATCTTGACTTGCAGTGGAGAGTTCAGTGCACATTTCTGTTTTCAGAAAACATTTAACTTAGACTCAAAATAAAATAAGGGCAGCATTTGTCTGCCAAAATCCTACCACAGGATAACATTACAGGCAAAAAATTTACATGTTCCAAAGTCTACCACACTCAAGAAGTTACTAAGAACTCTTGCTGAATAAAAGTCACCATTTTAGAAATGCAAACCCACTTCCAATCTTTGCACAGTC